CTACCTTAGATGCCGGACAAACAATTGATGTGATGGCGTCTGATGCATTTTTGACCGTACACTTCTCGCCAACGTTACTCAGTAGTACAACGACGAGAAGTCGTTCCAGTCTCTCCTGCATTTGTATCCCCCGAGGAGAGCGAGATAATCCTCACCCGAGTGATAGAGGAAGCAATGTTCAAATAACAGATATGCATCTATGACCATCCAGTGCTATTGCTTGCCTTTGTGGGACGTCGGGTATAGTGTAATAACTAATAACATTGCCGCCTCTCATGGACTGAGAATGGTTGCACGCGGCAGCTCGGGGTTCGATTCCCCGTACCCAAAATGAAGGGTTCGATAGTTGTACCTTTTTCTCTTGCACCTAATTATTATATGCGCTCTGTCGATAGTTCTCATCCTGGAACTTGTGCATCATCTTCGTCAATCCACAATGTGTTTTAGCAGCTATAGTACATTTTGTAAGTTGTACATAGATAATATACGTATAACACGGATCATTGTCCGAGTACCGTTGAAAAAGAGCTCGCCAGCGCCATCGATGGGTAGCAGATTTCGGAGTTACACCAATAGAGCATTGCTTAGTCGGGGAAGGTGATAATAACAGTGAGAGACTGAAATTGGACTACGTGGGATGGAGGAGGGCATGAAGGTTGGCAGTGTGCCGCGAGTTCATGGCGGAGCTTGTGGCGTACATGCGGGTACGAATCCATAACGGTGTAGAACTTCGAGGATGAGGGAGTGTCCAGCTAAGCATGCGAGCTCTGGGCATACTCGTAGCACGTGAAGGTCGAATTCTGCAAAGCTGCGACTCGAATGCGTAGGGTTGAACACAGAAGATCGACATATTGGGTAACTCACAATGCGTACGTGGATGCGTTCGTGTGGTGGTGAAAGAAACTTATTGGGCATTTACATAAATGCGGAGACCTGTAGAGGCTGTAACTCATCAAAGGCCGAAATTTAACTTTGGTGTAGAGGACGCATGAGAATTGATGAGAATAAACGGGACTACCATGGAAATTTCTGGTGATGTCATTGATGGCTATGCGGCGTCTAAATTCCATGACCCCAAAATCGCCACCAAATTGCTTCCCGCTGGCACTTCATGGCGAACAGTGAATACCACTTTCCACCTAATCTCTTTCCCCAGACTCGGTCTCACATCGCCTTACCCACAGGCATAGCACTGCCCACTGGGCCAAGTAGGGTCACTGGCCCAGTAGCCGTTGACCCGGCGTGCTGGCCGCCAGCCATGCGTCAAGCACTGGCAGCAGCAGTTCCAAAGGTGCCTAAGGTAGCATCTCAGAGCTCCAATGTGGGCCTTTCCATATCTGAAATCCGACCACCTCCTGAGCATTACACTCCTCAACAGGAGAAACTCTTGACAGCGTTACAAAAGCGAGAAGTTCGCCTGTCGCTTGCGCACGCCCGTGCCACGAGAAAGACCCTCTACGCAGAAGAAAAAGCGGCCAAATCCCGAATCAACGAAGGAAAACTAATGCTCGAAAAACTACGCATCGCTGCCAAGCGAAAAAAGCTTGAAGTTCGCCTGGCCGATAAACATACAGCTTCCATCCATATCTACATGGAAGAGGAGGGCATACGAGAAGTATATGAATCCGATTATTCGGATTCGGAGGGTATTCTCAGTGATTATGATTACGATGATTATGTTCGCGACTCGTCTGACGAGGACAAGGACGGGGAGGATTTGGAAGCCACATCGAGCATCGGTGAAGCACCTCTACCCGCCATCCCCGGAGAGATTCCCTCAACCGCAGAGACTCCAGTCACTGTACGCGACCTTGAGAATGAACACATCGCCAACGACGCGTCGATCTCCCGCAAAAGGCCCCGCCTTCCTTCCTCTCCCCGTTCGTCGATAGCATCGACAGCATCGACAACCAGGCCAGCGACTCGTATTCGCAAGACGTGAATGTCTTCGCCGACGAGCCGAGCTCATGTATCTCACCGGGGGGCCCATCGTTTCTTCGAAATGCCCTTAGCTATGATGTACCGTGACTTATCTCTCGCAATTACTAGTTAGATTTATACTCGCTGCGGTTCCAAAATGAAACAGTCGTGCGTTGATACCAAACAGTAATGCGAGGTGCCAATCTCGTGTCGTCGGGCTGAACTGATATTGACTTCCGGCCTAATAATCTTTCCAAACTCGTCGCGATTTCTTGGAAACAACCTCAGTATCACGTCTCGTGTACGAAAAGGAATCCGATTAATTCATGAAAGGTATCTCGATGATATACATGATAGTAGACAGTTAGTTAGTACTGAGAGGCGAAGTCTCCCAAACGCTAACAAAACAAAACTGTTAGATGTGATGATACGGAAGGAACAACAGAAGCAGAAGTAATATGTGAGGTCAGTGCAGCGAGGATAACGAGGAACGAGCAATGGAGAGAAGGGGGGTGACGCAGGCGTGGCGAAAGTACGGAGAGTTCTGATGTATGGATGGGGTGAGAAAGGAAGGGGCATGACGGGGGCTATATGTTATCTTGATATTGGCTGGGAATTGGAGTTGGGGGAGGTGTAGATATTGCAACAGACAAACGGAGTCCTAAAGCCAAAATAAAATAAAGCAGGGCAGGCGACAAGAATGAACATGAATAAAGTAGGATGCAATGGGATGCGGGGAAGGGGTAAATGGATTGCGATCTTCGGTAGTACATAGATATAGATTGCGGAATTGCAGTTGAAGTGCGATTTAGAATATATGTGCGTGATGCGTTCATGTTTGTGCAGATGAAATAAGATATTGAAACTTGCTGGATATTCGTTTTGATATGCTGCGCTGTTCAACCGGCCCTAGCAGCCTCTAGATTGCTGGCAGGCGCAAAATTGTTGTGAAAATGCTGGGAATGCGAGGGTGCCAGATGACCATCTGAGTGAAGGTCGGTCATTGTGGAATGGGGCGGTGGTGGGGTATTTTCTAGCCCGAATGGCGAGAATGACGAGGGCTGGCCATGGTTCGTGTTTGTTGGCATGCCGAACGTGTATCGTGGCATGGAGGAGGGAAATTTCGATGCATTGGTCAGGTTTGGCCCTGTCGAGGTAGCGAACCCATTAGGCGACGAGGAAAAGAATCGTGGGGGCGGCGAGGTCCCTAGGAGCTCAGGAGCGAAGGCTTGGACTGATGAGAGTTGTGGGGACGCAAGAGGAATGTCACGACGAAGAATCATCTGCGGAACACGCGATTGCTGCTGCTCGTCTTTCCGCGACTGAAATTCTTGCCCGGAAGAATTCGAGGTCGAGATAGCGGCGGAGTTCTGCATTTGTTGTTGTTGTTGCAGTGAGGGGCCATTACTCCCCGCGCTCGTGGGAGTACGAACACCGAGCGGGTTCTTGCTATACGACAGGCGGATCCCACCCTTGACGAGGCCCTTCAAGGTATCGCCGTATAGTTCGTTCAACGCCTTGGTGGCATACGGCACGTCTTCGAACTAAACGACATGTCAGAAGAGTTTCAGACAAAAGCAGTAGAAGAGACTCACTTCAACGAAGCACATCGGTCCATTGCTCTTGTGCCGGAAACACAATCGACGGAAGCCAGCTCGCACCGAGAAGAGCTCCCTCAGACTCTCCTCCAGGTAGTCCTGGGGAAAGCCATTGGGCGGCGACGAGGTTGGCAGATTACCAACATATAGGGTGTTGATCTAAAAGTTGAGTCAATATTGTGAAAGCAAGATCGAGACGACATAAACGTACGGGAGGGTTCTGATCAACACCATTCCTCGAGCTAGCACCAGAGGCGGGCGAAGGGAGCTGTGGTGACGTCTTTCCACCTTCAGTATTTAGGTCGAGCCCGCCAAGCGCCCGAGTTAGATCGACATCACCATGCTCTTCGCTGCCGCCGCGACCGGCGCTCTGTCCACCAACAACACTGGATGAACTCGACTCTGATGGCGCATGGTTATGAAGAGCACCATACTGAGGATCATGCCGAGCTTGCTCAATGAACTGCTGATGGTGAGGCTCCGGCGAGAACGATCGGGGAGGGATATCGAACATGCTGCCGTTCGACTGGAGTGGCGGGGACGAAGAACGCTGGGACGTCGCGCGTGGGATTGGGACACCTCGGCTGCGGAGGTTGTCCCAAGGACCAGGCATTTCCTCCTGCTGAACAGGCCGCGCAGTGGCGAAGCCGTTGGCCAAAGGACCTGTTCCCGTTGCGAGGTCGTGTTCACTGTGGGGCAATATCCCTTGGCTGGACAATTGTCTCGTTGACTGTGGGGGAGGGGCCGTACCAGCAGGGACGGAATGGAAGGCGTCGTATGCTGACAAGTTGTCTGAGCGGAGCCGCATCATGTCCTTGTCCTTCCTGCGTCGCTCTCTCTCAATGTCCTCAGCACGCTCGCGAGGTCCACGCGTCGCAGCTCCGAAAGCACTCAACCCTCCAAGCCCCATGGCACTAGTAATGATAGCCCGCCGTTCCTCGTCCTCGTGCTCGGAGATGCCGTTGATGCCAGAAGGAATCGAATGTAGAAGATCCTGCTGTTGCGTCTGCTCCCTCCATTGGTTCATCCGTCCGTTGCCTAGAGCCATTCCACCGAGCCCGTTTACATCCCGGTCTCTAGGACCCAGCGTCTCGTTCGGACCAAGGCTGAACGGTTCAGCGCCATTGCTCAGCGGCTGCTGCATCCCAGGAGCCGACGTGGCACCAGGTCCAGCGGCAGTCGTAGAACCAGAGGTAGGACCACCGGGAACAGGACCAACGCCTCTCTTTGTGTGCAAGTTCTTCTTGGCCATCTCTGCCTTGAGAACTGCGCCTTTGTCGATGTCGACGCGTCGTCCTTGAAGTCCATCACGGGCAAGCAGAGCCGCTTCGCGCGTTTTAAACTTCGCAAACCCGATGATCTGCTTCCGAGGCGGCATGTTGAGGCCTTGAGCGTTGCCGGCACTGCCGAACGGTCCGTTGAGTTCATCGGGCACGTTCGCAGGCCAAGAAGCCATAGTTCCATCCCGGCCTCCATCAACAACCACACCGCCCCGATTGACAGTCACGATATTGTATGGATCGTCGGCACCATTATAAGTCGGATACCCATTTCTAATAGCCGTTGAACCATTGGGGCCGCCTCCAGTTATGCCACCATAAGCGGTATACTCCTTGTTTGGTATCTTTAAGGTGGCAGCTTCGAAATCAGGAGAGAACGTGAACATATTCTGAAATTCTCGTTCCTGTAAAAGTATGAGTCATACTGACAGAAAAGATAAATTGATGTGTGCACACCTGCATGTCCTCTGGGAAACCAACGACGAAGATCGTCGAGATCTCTTCGGCGTTTCCAGATGAACCAGCGGGATTG